GGGGGGGGGGGAGGGGAAGCGCGACAGTTTACGTACGCTATTCGTTAGGTCGGACGGCCGGATCTCCACGTGTGTGCGTGTGTGTAACCTTGGTGTGCATGTTGGTGCTTTGTGAGGAAGATGTTGGAAGAACAACTGGAAGAGTGAGAGACCACGGCATAAGATACTCTCGTCCAGAGGCCAGTGTGATGATCGCGAAGACACGAACGATTCATTTGGCGCGAATCCGTTTCGAATTCGTTCGGCGACCTCAACCGATGTTCAACCGTTGTTTGCGTAGACAGTCGCGGATAATACGGTGCTTCTTAGAGTTGCGTCTATATCTCTCGAGCTTGACTCTTTTTCGCTTTCGGGCTTACCGAAGATCACGATCGCTCTTATTCCATTTTCCGCTCTGTGTAACCTTGGCTTCGAAATGCAGACGTTATTGTAGACGGCGGAAGATTTAAGCATGATTGGCTAATAAGGCATACGATAGGCATGATTGTTGATGACATCATTATACTTGAAATGTGTTACGGAGAATAAATCGGATCTACAGAATTGTTTGGGGATTGTGCTTCATTGCGCGTGGGATGAGCGTCGTGTGTGTCGCGCACAAAACGTTGGAGGAACCGACACTTCCGTGTGAGAGTCGCGTTGATAAACTAACGCAAGATTTCGGCTTATTTTCAGTTCTCTCGGCCGAATGTTCGAACGCTGCTCAGCAATTTTCTCTTTTGCACAGTCAGAATTCTTAAGACCATTCAATTTGCTCTCGTTGGTTAATGCACACGTGTGAAAAACTTTCAAGTGCCAATTGCATCTTATCGTGAGTCGTTAAAACTCGCGTATGCTCTCTCGTGGTACGAGAGAACTCGGCTCGCTGACAGAACTACCGCTGACAAACTCGCCTGTGCGCGTTCGTCCACGTACCGATCGCTGGTAAGATCAATTGTCGAGTTGCTAAGTTGTTAATAAGATCGGCAGTTTCGTTGAGAGCGCGTGAGCATTATAATTCAAAAATACGGATTCATGTCGCGCCGCGCATGCAACCCAGTTGCACGCAAGGAGAAATTTTCTGTTCGCCATATTTTGCACGCCTGACACGCATATATATGCATATATACATGTACGATATTGCGTACTTTGCAAGCTAAGGCCGTCCCTATCGTTTTATATTCTTGACGTTCCTTACATTGAAGAAAGGTCTCGTAATAGTTAACAAATGTAATGGCTGAGCGTCTCAGTGTGATATATTTCGTAATTAGTGTCAAACAGTTAACAACTCTGTTTGGTAGTAATAATCACATAATAATCAGTGAAATCAATTCCCGAAGAAATCGAATCAATCAAATTGCTCGGTAAGCAATACCGAATCACTTTGTAATAATTGCCAAATAGTTTGGCAATTACCCAAGCATTTGGGAAGTATTAATAAATCATCCGACAATCCTTAATATTGTCCACTGCGGTAAGTATTACTAAACAATATAATATGGTTTTATTTAACGAACAATTTGATGATACACACCACGTGAATTTAATAGTTTCCAAACCATGGCAACAAATACCAAGCCTTGCCAAGGTTATTTGTTAATACTCGCTACAATATTTTGTTATATTCACCTTAAATTGAATTGAAACCATCTCACACCGAAGCACTCCGACCCAGGCTCGACGGCTATTACCAAATCTTTTCTTCGGTGTGAGAATGCGGGATTAACGTGAGCGCGCACAAATCGACGGATTTTCCCCCGAATTTCCCCGAAGTCCTCCCTGTGGTGCGGAATGAACGCGTCGCTCGAGGCCCGGCGTATCGATTTACATGCAATTCGCTATTTAAAGGCCGACGCGACAGCCGTAGTGAGGAAGGTCCAGAAGGCCTCGTGTCGCCGTTCACCGCGCCATGGGAAATTAGCCGTGGTGCATAAATATGCACCGGGCGGCGGCGGCGATCGGGATCCTCGAGTTCGCGCGCGCGCGAGAGGAAGTCGCGCTTACGCGAGGTCGGGATACTTAAGAAACGAGAAGCCACGCTGATTCTTCCGTCTATTTCGCCCGAAGAGTCCGTCCGTCGGACGGCACACGGCAATGACATTAATGTCACATGACAAGATGGGCAGGATGTGGTCAATTCAGATCGGTCTCCGTGTGTGACTCACATTACACGCGCCTTCTAGCTCGTCCCGGTGTTATAAAGGGAGTGGAGTGGACCGCCAATCGGACAGTCGCTGCGGGTCGCGCACACGCGTGCCGTCGCGGCTACTAAGGTCACACACACACAGGCTGACCTTAGCCCCCAATTTGCCGAACGATTTGGTCGAGGAAATCGTATTCTCGCGGTCTCCTGAATCGCGCGACGGATATAATCGCGAATTGTGACGGATATGTCAGGTGGACAGGTGCGAGGGTGTGTAGACGCGCTTCGAGCAAATTCGACAGCGATTTCTTATTTATCTCCCTCCTTAAAGGCGGGTTAGCTTAAGATAGGTAAAATACACGATACTGAACTATGAAATACTATGAACGATATTCAACGTTTCGGGAATACCCGAAACCCGATATTCGAGGCTTTCTTCGGCCAGGCATTTAAATCTCCGAGATGCGAAATGTCTTTGCGCTTCGCGACGAAAAGTTGCAAAATAGGAGGGTCGTCCGACTTCTTGCCTTTTACATCCGTGGAATTCCTGATGTCGCAAGCGAACTCCACGTCCCGAAGTACAAGCAAATTAGAATCGTGCGGTAAGATTTAAGATAATTGATTCGAGAATCGAAAGTATCGGATTTTTAGTGGCGGATATTAAAGGACTCCTACATAAGTTTATTATTTACCGAGAAAAACTTTCTTGTAACTTTATTTAACCATCTAAGTAATAAATGTTAATTTTGAACGCGAAATTAAGGCAAATATATACACATAATATTACAAAGATATTATTTAATTTTTATTTTTCTTATTAATGTTTTGTCATGCACGTATTAGAAAGTGTTATATAAATATTTAAATATATTTATATGCATATATCGCTAATATCGTAAATTTTCTATAGCCATATTTTCTAAACAAAATGGCTAAAAATTTTGAAATTTTTGTTTAATATCTTTATATTAATCCTTGATATCGCAGTAGTTTTTCACTAAAATCTTAAATATTTAGGAGAGATGAAATATGAAAAGATAAAAATAGGACACTTAAGTTTATTCAGGGAACATATAAAACGTATAAAAAGTCACTTTTAGTTGCAAATATCTCGGCTCTCGAATGATCACAATCGTTTTCTAACTTAGACGTATAGATGATATTACCATTAATGCGCAGCTAATATTCGAAAAGATTCCTAGGAAAATTATCTAACGGACCAGTTACATTAACGTTCAACGAGCCGTGAAAATACGAGTTTTCCACTCGATAGTAAACAAACTTACTGACACATTCGCGCTCGTATCACTCGTGGCGTGGTTCTATCGATAGGTACGAGTGAAAGCGATTACTCAATGTTATGTTCACACGGCCAGTGCCGGCTGTAGAAGTCTCGTCGCCCCGGTCGGTCGCCCTCCTTTCTCTCTTACTGATATTTTCTTCATTCTCAGATGTATATTTAATAAGTAAACACCGAAGTGACGATCGAATGAAAGGTACACCATCGTTCGAACTAGGCGTCGATAGTCAATAATATAAGCATTCATATCTGTATGTAGTATATATCATGAACACGCTGCGTGCCATTCGCTGACTCACAGGCGTGGTCCCATAAGCAATTAACGGCGCCCGAGTTATCAAACGTGTTCGTTGACACCAAATCCAACTCGAACCTGCCGCGAGGCGTGTCCGCCTCGTGTTTTCCATAAGACGGGAAAACCTGGCAAGTTGTTCCTTATCATTCCTTTATCATTTACCGTTCCTTTAACACTCATCTATTTGAAGCCGTTACGTCGGTATCAGTAAGTCCACTTCCGTTCGCTTTCCCTTCGATTTTCCACTTTCCTCTCCCCCTTTCCCCCTCTCCCCCTTTCCCATCCATCCAAACGTGCGTTCGTCTCATTCCGAGGGAAAGCGCGAAACAAGGCGAGAGAGAGAGAGAGAGAGTGAGACCGACGAGCTAATGAGCGGAATGCTCGTCGCGAGGAAAATTTTTGCACGCGCGCGGCGACGTCGGCACATGCACCATTGTCACCGACGCAACGACCACCGTAGCAACGCTCGTATACACGTGTAAGTGTGACACGTCATGGCAATGGAGCGGCTGCCCGCCAGGGGGACCAGGGCGAGGAAGTGGGAGGGGGTACGAGCAAGAGTGAGCTATTCATTGAGCGCGACGCACGTTGCCTGGAGTCGTCTAGCGCGACACATATACGCTGCTAAAAATCGCGGCCGAGCGAGGACCGCGGAAAGAAGAGCCGCCAATGACGACGACTCCCCGTGTCCGACGATGCTTTATCGTGAATGTCGCATTAATTATATCGTACGTCGTGGTTCCCGGACGCAAGGACGAAGGGCGGAGGCTTTGAAAAAAACAAAGAGCGGCTATTTTCAGTGGCACCCCTGCGGACGCAGGTAGGCGTTGGCGGCGTTTCGGAGAGCTGTTGTTACATAACGGGAAAGCATCCGTCGTCTCCTGTTTTCTAGCCGTTGACCCATCATGGAGAAGCGATCGGAAAGCTTCCGGCATATCGCGGGCGAGAGAGGAGCCGCTTTCGATCGATGAGATCATCAGGTGCCCGAGGGCTAATAAGTTTCGTGAGAGAATACGAATAAATACTGCACTGAAGTAGATATTGATTTGTCCGAGTATTTCGTAAGTTTATATGTACGCAAGTATATCGTAAGCGTCATCGTGAGCGTCGAATCCTAGTAAGTTTAGTATGCTTCAATCAAGAATATTAAATTAAAACACTAAAACTTTAGTTCATTTATTTAAATTAAGCGGAAATTAATTTTTTTTTTCGATAAATTTTATAATATTCTCGAAAATAAACTCTTCTTTTGAATATATGGTAATGCATTTTTCCAAACTTCGGGGTGAATGCACTTTAAGACAACTATCGAGAAAATATTCTTTGTTGAAGGTAGATATTACTTATGGAAGAAAGAAAATAAACTGCGAGTAATCACTTTTCTTAGCGGTGGAATGACATTTCCTCTATGTATAAAGAAGAGAAATTACTTCGTAGACATCTTTTCGGAAACTTAGCTGTCGCGCGATTAATTCATGTTGTTACACTCGCGTTCACTCTGCACGTCACCCCCGTTTGATTTTCAAAGCAAAATAATGCAAGAAGCGTCATTTGACAAGATCTATTATATCAAAACCACTACAATATCGAGACAAAAGAGTAGATATGTGCGTCAATACTTAGATTTTATTCCCGTGCTACACTTTCAGCACCTCTCCCGTTGTTTTACGTACACTTACATTACTCAGCTCATGAGTAATATTTCGCGGACTTCTCCTTTCCTTATCGCCAACGAAGAGGAGGAGGAGGAACGCGGAAGATCGATAGTCACCGTCTTCGAAAAGTGCTTGTATTTTGCGTCCACAGTTGGACATGCACTTTGTCGCCGCTTTCAGGTACACCTGTCACCTGGCGCTCCTCTTCAGTCTACCGTCACGTCGAAACTAGACGCGAACGACGACACTTCCTCGGGGATCCGTCCTAACGGTTCACCAACGGGGAAAAATATCCTTGAGACAAACCCCGCTCGAAACATCCACCGTCGTGGAAGAACTCGGGGAACCAATGCCCGACACCGAAGTAGCCGGTATCTCGTGGATCAACCTGTACATTCGTTCGCACACACCTGGGCCCACAAAGAGTTGGGTCCGAACCTGCGGTCAAGGAGGGGCGGAGAGAGACGGCGAGAGAGAAAGAAAGAGGGAGACGGAGACAGAGCGCACGGTGAGGATGGCTACGGTGGAGGAGGGAGCGAGAGAGGAGGAGGAAGGTCGCGACGCGCTCCGTAGCGTTTAGTCAACCTGGTGGCGCCGAAGAACCAACTGTCGGCGGCGGAGCAGCAACCTGCCGGAGTCGTAGTAAACGAAGGGAGGCAGAGAGCGAGTCGAGAACCGACCGAGGAGGTGCGACGACGTTACACGTGAATAGCGTCCGCGGTGAAATTCGAGTGGCGATCGAGAAAGAGAGACTAAGAGAGAAAGAGAGGCAGAAAGAGTTTTACTTACGGAGAATCGGAGTTACTCGCGTGTTCTTCTCCGTGGTACCGCGCCCGGTGTGTGCGGGCGCGCGCGCTTGGTTCCGTGGAGAGAGAGAGAGAGAGAGAGAGCGCAGAAGGCGAGAACAGGTGGGACAGGATGGTAGCCAAGGACCCGAGGATGGTCACCGCGGAGTTGATGAACCCGTACGAGAAACCGCCGAGCATGTCGGTCGGCCAGTCCATGAGGACCTTTCTTTACAATCGCGAGACCGGCGCGTTCATGGGCAGGACCGCAAGTAGCTGGGGTAAGCGAAGGCGCGCGGCGTTGCCAACTTTCGAGCTTACGCACTATATCGTGGAAAGTTATGCGGCATCCACTACTACCCATGGACTTATGGTGTGCGCGATCACACGCATCGATGTCGTCGGTGTCGATCGTATATCGATAGCGACGATCGAGGAGGATTCGATATCGCGCGCGCGGTGCACACCCGATCCGAAGATCTGTGCCCGTTTCCACCGACCCGTGGCTTAGATCCAATCAATGACCGATCAGCGCGTCGATTTTATCCCATTCCCCGCAGTTGATCTTCGTCCGGTATTCCGAGACAGAGAGAGAAGAATCGGTCCGGTCTGCACGAAGACCGACGTCGGCCGGAATCGTATGAGGGAGCGCCGCTGATCGTTCTCATTACCGCCTTCCGGACATCGATACCGACCGTTGTACCGCGTATCAAGAGTGAAACCTTTCGGCCTGTCGAAAGCACACCGTGTCCCTCGCTACCGTCGGCTCCGTCCGCGCGTCGTCCACCGTTGCATGCTCCGTCGTGGCACGTTAACGACTCATCAGCAATTTCGCTGCTCATTACCGCATGTTTCTCCTTAGCACGTGACGGTGCCAATGGCCGGCACCGTCGCGTATCGTTGTCAGTATTAAACTAGTCGCAAGAAGAAAATCGTATCTTGAAGTTTACCTTCAGCGATCCACCACCGCCTTCAGCGGGCTTTCGCTTGCTCGGGGAACCGTCTTTCGAACGCATCGACAATTTTCGCGCGCGCCTTTATCATCGTCTCGCTGAACGTATGAAGAATGTTCAGAGAAGCGGAATGGAATTTCTCCTCGCGGAATATTCGATGTCTCGAATCGAACGATGACGTTGATTGCGGTTGGCGCGACTTACGAAAAACCGGCCCGGCGGCGATCGCCGTTATCGCGGAAACGCTCACCGCGCCGTTGTTACCATAATTTTATCAAGCACGATGTACGAGTGTCTAGACACGACCTCGTATCCATCTCGAAAATGACCGTTTAAGGAAGATGAGGGGTTCTCGCGCGCCGCCGTCGTCGCGTGTGCGAAACAAATCCTTCGCGAGTTCCAATTAATTAGCCCACGTGAGACTCATCGTCGCAGCGTCGATTGTCGCGAATAGCGTGAACGCACTTAAAATATCTTATTCCCGTGTCCCGGGGCGTGTTTACGACCGTCGCTATAGCGACCTTACCGTTATTACACACCCACGCCTGATGAACGCGCGCTTTGCGTGGGCCCTTTTTAGGGCTTTACGTAGAATCCCCCGGCGCCTTCGACATTATCGATATCAGCCGATCTCGATCTCGTCTGCAGCAAATCGAGCACACTCTCGATTATATACCTATACGGAGAAAAATTGCAAGAATAAAACAAGTTATCAATATATTATTGGAGAACAATAGTTTTCCAATCATTGTTTCGTATTCTTGTAGTTTTTTTCTTTTTTTCCTTTTTTCTTATGGGCACAGTCGTAATCGTACCGAGCAATCTCTCGAATATTTCTATTCGTTAATCGAATGGGACAGAATTTAGATGTGATTTCAGTTCCTCTAATTGAATAATTTGAGGTAGCGAAAGTTCGTGTGAACTGAAACTTTCGCCGTGTTAAATCACTCAATTCGAACAGCTGATGTTCCTTATTAATATTTATTATGCTTCTCGCTAAGGCGGACAGTAGGAGAAAGGTTTTATTTAAGAAGCAAAGCAAACGCTCGTGCCGAAATTCATTCGAACCAGATGTATTTTTTTTCAAAGTCTGCGACACGCGAATAAAAATGACACGACACGGTCGGGGAGGAACGTGCGCTCCTTTCGAACGCGCCGTTGGTCGTGCAATATTTTAACTGGTTCAACGAGATAATCCAGCCGATTTACAGCGGCGCGTAATTTCAGATTACTATTGTGCTTTTAATAACGACCTAATGAATGTAACGAGACAATTCTCCCACGCGTTAGCCGTGATTCAGCGTGAAGGTCCGGTGTGATTGGTCGTTTCGACACTAATTCGGCCCCGCGACGGTACGAAGTGCTATCACGGTCTTTTTATGTCTTCCGTTATCAGTCAGGTTTCCTCCGTTCGATCACGAAGATTGCTCCCGCGAGCACTTAACGAATAAACGTGAATTTTCCGTTATTATTACCGACCAATTCGTTAATCACTCAATTTATACCATTTACATCGATCGCCCGCGCCCCTCTCTCTAAGCGAGGGTGAGTTTGTTATCTGCAAACCGGAATAGTCGTTTCGTCAAGGCAACAGTAAATCTCTTGCGCTCTCTGCGGTACCTTCGACAAATATTGCTCACGCAAATATTGCTGAAAGCATCGGCAATACTCGGCGTCGAATTTACCGTCGAGCAAAGGGCGTCGTCACAATGCTGTTTTGTTCGCGACAACGTCACGTTGCGGCCCGCTTCGCGAAACGAGCCATTACCTATCAGCAATATTGCGCGCGTCATCGCTGTTAGCTACGTTACCCGCTGTAAACTTCATTGTTACGAACGATCCCGCGGAGACACATCGGTCGTATGGACGGCGGAAGCGAGATTCTAGAAACATCCGTACCGTAGAAAAATTCGAGGCATCCATTTCTTCTGCAATCTCGTCGCTCTTCCTCGCGATGCGTTTACGTAATCGAGCAGAAGTACCGCGAATCGATAGCTTTTTGTTGTTTGCGCGATCGAGAGGAAAGCATGAGTAATAAAAATGCGGCAGGAGCGCACAGAAGCGAAATTGCACGACGATAAGACCTTTGGCTTTACGGTTGAACCTGGGGATGGCTCGTAAATCACATTACCGAGTACCTTCGGCGTCTCTAGTGCGAGATCGTCGTCGGTGGAATAGAAATAATTGAAAGATGAAGGCGAGGATTGGGCGAAGAAAAGGAGGCGGAAAAAAAGAAGGTAGCTGAAAACGAGCTTCGATGGAAATGAAAATTAGCTGTCCATATGATACTGAACTGAAATTTAATTCATTTAGCTCATTCTTCTTGTCTCCGCGTCTGGTTTTCAGCTCTCACGGCTAAAAACTAGGTCTGGCAACTAAGTTTCAGTTGTATCATACGAACAGTTAACTTCCTTCTTCCATGTAACGACTCCCTCGCTGGGGCTCGGAACAAACAACACACACACAGGTACATGGGATTTTCCAAGTTTATGGAAGTCTGATCTGTAAAAGATGACAAGACGACAATCTCGGTAGAAAATTCGAAGGAGGATGACTGAGAAATAAATCAAATATGTGAAGTAAAATATATTTTCACGATGCAAGAGCATACGCATTCTTTTTTATGTTTATATAATTTATTTTTATTTGTGCTGAATTTTCAAATTTCATCATAGAAAAGCATAGATAGGAACGCGACGACTGAGAAATTCAGCTCGTCCTTTACCGTCTACGATACGGAGAAGACTTGCAACATCAACTATGTGTTGATTCGCGACATTATTTGTTTCGGTTTAATTGGCTCACAGAAGCCACGCAGCTTTGCACTTGCTACGAATTACATTCAGAAGGTGTTGAGAAGGGGGTGTGGGGGTATTCTTGACGTGCGAGACAATCAACCTTGACATACGTCTGATGTGGGAAAATTTTCGAGGAATTTTTCCATACACTTGTTTGTTCCCGCTTTTACATAACGTAATCGCCACCCTGAGCAAGAATATACAGCGCGAAAATTCATTCTTTCATGCTTGCAGTGAGCAACCTTTTTGTCCCGTAGTTCGAAGTATTCACCGTCGACGTTTTTTACAATTTATTACGCAATCTCGCTGCATTTGATCCGCAGCATCCACAAAGAGCAATCAGAGGCAGCTATTACGGAACCATTCACGATTTTCCGATCGAAAATGCGGACTTTCAGCCGAGGCTAGTTCCCGATCGTGATCTCTATTTGTCTTTGAGAAATTACGGATCTTCTCGGAACCGGTGTACCGTCTTATTTCCCTGCCGGAAGAAATCAGTTATTTGCTCTCCTTTGTCGTGTTTTTTATATATTGCTCGATTACTCTATTAATAACGAATCGACAGCGAACTTTTTATCAACTATCAACAACTAGCGAATAATAATAAGTAGTACATGTCTTATTTGCGCATTCAATTCCTCCGATTCCGTCTTTCACACAGACGAAAAGGTATCTCTTTAGATTTAGCATTTCTATTTATTTGACTAAAATTTGTTTCATAGAAACAACATATACGAAATATTATTTGTTTGAGTAAAGATTTTATTGTCTCATTCAAGAAAACTCTATTATTTAATAGAAAGAACGCTATTATTTGAAATAATATCTCTTAACCGAATAAAATATTATTTGGTTACAATATGTAAAATGAAACAAATAATTTCTTTGTAAAAAAAATGATCTCTCGTTTTAACCATATTTTTTATTTAAGATAAAGATGCATATTCGTTGAAAAGTCCAACAGTCGTATTTATTAACCGAAATATTAGTTTCTTTAGAGCATGTCAATGATGGAATTTGTGTTTGGATGCAATAAAATTTATTAAATTTGAAAAAAATCTTTTTCTCACTCTGTCGTATAATTTAATCGTTCGTTTCATCAAAGATTTTTCGTCTCAGCGGCTTACAATATCCAGATATCGTCCATAAAAATTACAGCAATATTGCTGCTTATTTTATCCGAAAGAGAACGCAATTAATCTGGAATCATTGTGGTAATAAGAAGTCGATAATTTGATTAAAATTATGGCATATTAAATGAGTACTTCCTAAAACAAGCATATTTTAAACATGCTGCGCTGTTACAATAGTATCACAAAGTATACATTAAATGTTTACATACACTGATAAAAAATTATAGTTATTTTCGGTACCAACCATAATTTATGATAATAGCAATATCCCAGTAACCAACCAACCAAACCGTAATGTAACGTCAATGTTATAATTTCCCACTCAACAACATAACTGTTACATAATATTGCGCGTTATATTGCATTTACATTACTGAGCGGGAAATTATGATATTGATGTTATGTTACTGTTAATTGATTTTTACTGGAATGTCTGTAAGATTATTATCACTGACATTATAGTAACATTTAGATAACATTTTAGTAACATTTAGATGATATTTTAGATAACATACCTTTTTAGATAACATGAACTTTTAGATAACATAACTAGAAAAGTGGTTCTCCAAACTATCTTTATGGTTAAAATAAAAAAGTGGATATAGTTGGCAACGAAAGTAATTGTCATATTTTATCAGTACGTACATACAATGTTCAGCATTTCTGTCTATCTTCGGCTCCAAGATCGAGTTCGCAAAAACGTCCGGAACTTTCCGGCCGTCTCGCACGGGCCGACCGACGTAACGATCGGGTAGAAACGAGATCGTTCCGATCGGAAGCCTCTTTCCGAATAGTTCCACGAATAGTTGCCCTCTGGCAGGAGGTAAGGGGAGAAAAAGACGGAAGCGCGAAGCGCGTCTGATTCGCGGCGCACACAACGCTTTGCCCGGTTGAATGGCAATTGTTAAACTTCCTTTAGCGCAAACGTGTACAACGAGGTCAATTGGCGTTAAACGGCGGCATTACGGCATTACATAACTTAGGGCCATTCCGAAGGGTACACCCACGCGACCATGCCGCGGCCTTTCGTTCAGCTGCAGATCACCTGAGACCGTCCGAATCGCGGTGGACGCAGGTACCGGCCGAAACCGTGATGGGAAGACCGCTCGGCGAACCGCGAAGTTCGGAGCCGGCTTTTGTTGGAAATTCCTCGGCTCCGGCCGTCCGAAATCTCAGGAGTCGCGTTTCACGTTTTCACGAAAAACTTCCGGGATTTTTTGCTCGACCAGCGTGGCTACGATTTCGGCCATCGACAGGCTCCCGAACAAATTCAAGCTGAAGCTATTGAAGCTAGTCAAACGGAGGTTGGAATTGAATAACTGAAACTTACGTGACGGATTAAGCTGACGTTAGAGTTAACCCCAAGCGCTAAATTAAAAAAAATCAAAGATTAAAGCTGACGATCAGACGGAGATTACAGCTGAAATATTGCGGCTTTGGTGATATTTAATTTACTTTGACGACTAAGCTGACATTACAGTTCAAGTTGATAAATCAAAAACTCGTAAAGCCGAAGCTGAAGATAAATAAAGAGACAGAGAGAACGACGAAGGCTAAAGCTAAAACTAATAAAGCCGGGGGGAACTATGGTCTACATAAGATACTTCACGTCAGACAGTAATCGTCTCCGTCGATGTGTCTCCGTTCCCGATGGCGCTGCTTGCTTGTTGTACAATGACGAGGACTATCCGCGAAACGACGTCGTTGAATCGGCGTGTAATTGAATTGCTCCACTTGACCAGGCACTTTGATCTTCCTGCAAATTGAATCCGCAGTTAATACAATTAACCTACATTATACAGGGGAGCCTGCATACGAGAGAATCACTTTCTTCTGCACGCGACTTCGAGGAACACATTGCTAGAGCCGTAGAAACGATAAGGTCTCGGTACACAACTGTCACGTAACGCAACGTCAATGTTACAATTTCCCACTCAACAATGTGACTGTTAATCAACACATATGTTATATTGCATTTACATTGTTGAGTGGGAAGTGAGCGGGAAATAACAGTGATATTACGTTATTGTTGGTTGATGTTTTATACTTAGGGTGTCGCTCGAAGGAATTTTAAAACATGTCGCGCTCAGAGCACACGTGCACGGTGAAATCGTGGTGCAACCGAAGTCATCCGATGAACCCGCAGGTATAAAATCAATCCTTCGCGTGCAAAGTTCTCTTTCTTTTTTTTTTTTTTAAAGAATACGCAGAGTAGGATGTTGCTGTGTCAGTAAAATTGGCCAACAGCGCCGTAATAGGAATAAATCTTCTTCCTCCAATACTGAGAGAGAGAAATTGAAATTTTGCGAAATAAATATTTCTTACGACATTTTCTTCGATATTTATGCTTTAGAAAAAAATTTAACTTTGAAGGCGGAATATATATTTTTGTGAAATATATCAAAGTTTTCCTATTAATTGGTTTATTTGCTAGGCTTAAGATTTTATTTCGCTGCGTTTAAATATAAAGGTCTATTTTTACGAAATAAACCTTATATTTCAGAAATAATTTTTTAAATCTTTTTTTCTCAGTGTAGCAATATCATTGAAAATAATACTTGAATTATCGAAGCAATATACGATATATTAGTTCTAATAATGTTTGGTTATTGAAGAATATTTGCTTCAATCAAGGCATTGTTGACCTATTCTATGGATGCAAAGACGTTATTTCCATATTTAAGGCACGAAGAAATACATGTCGACTTGACTTGGCAGAGCTTGGTTTATACATTCGGTGTAAAAGCTCGAATTTTGCATATTCGCTCGTTTAATTACAGCTTCGTTTTTCGTTCGCAGGTAAAATCGGACTCTTTTACTTAATATTCTACGGCGTCCTGGCGGCGCTCGTCGCCATTTGCTTCTGGGGATTCTTTCAAACACTCGACCCGAGAATACCAAGGTGGCAGCTGGAACGATCCATTATTGGGACCAATCCGGGTGAGTTTTCTGTGGGTTGTACATACTAATAGCAACGGAATGATAGGGATAATCCAAATTAACGACGGTGTCGCGTATCGTAGGATTGGGATTCAGGCCGATGCCACCGACGGAGAACGTGGAGAGCACTTTGATTTGGTACAGAGGCACCGACAGCGAGAACTTCAAGCACTGGGTTGATTCACTACAAATTTTTTTAAAAGGTACACAAGTATCCACAATAAGAGAACAGTGTCTCATTTTCGTTGCATCTTAATGCCTTCCGTGATCCTTCAGATTACATCACGCCCGGATCTGTTCTTGGACTTGGTGCTAACATTAACAAATGCGATTACAATCAGCCGCCACCACCCGGGAAGGTTTGCGACGTCGACGTGAAGAATTGGCATCCCTGCACCAAGGAGAACAGATTCAACTATCACAAATCCGCCCCCTGCATTTTTCTCAAGCTGAACAAGGTAGGTAGTGGTAGAATTTTGCACGCGAGCCATTGCGAATAATGATGAAAAAGGAAAATGGGCCGGTTTTTGCCTGAAAAGTGTAAGTTACATTTGCATGTAATCTTACGTTTTTTGGGTCACTGAATACGATGACAGTATTTTTACTCATCTAATCCCGTGGAGAAATGATCAAAATTCGCCTTAAAAGAACCAAAATAAGCCACTTTTAACCGTAACTCAGTTAGAATGACGATTTTGTTTCAATTATTTAATCACTTATAGTTTAGCATCATAAATTTTTTTTTTCATTGAAAACCAAGGAAACGCTTCAGAATGAAACACATCAGAAATACTGACAATTTTGGCGAAAACAATATGATGTAAAAATTTGAAAAGATGGTCAATTTTTTTTATTCAAAGGATTTTATCAGATGTGTATCCGCACGATTGTGCAGCTTTAAGGATTAAAAGGCTTAAATATTAAATGCATAGAACATTTGTCGAATGTTTGCAATGTCAAAAATCTCATCACATTTCTCATGACATTTTTATTTGACAGATTTACGGCTGGAGGCCGGACTTTTACAACGATACCGAAAATCTGCCGAAAAAAATGCCAAATGACCTCAAAGAGCATATACAGAGTGTGAAAGGGAACAATTCCCTGCAGCTGAACACGATCTGGGTGTCCTGCGAAGGCGAGAATCCTGCCGACCAGGAGAACATCGGGCCGATCAACTACCTGCCACGACGCGGTTTCCCCGGCTATTTCTATCCTTATGAAAATTCCGAGGGTTACCTCAGCCCGCTTGTTGCAGTGCATTTTGTCAGACCACGAAGTATGACGCTGAAAATTTTGAAATTTGAGATTTAACCAGTCAGGGCGGCGATCACTTAACTTTTTTTCCTACATGAAAATGAAACAACCCAGGAAAAAATTTTCTGTATATAACTAGATATAATTATATATATTTATACATAAGGTGTCATATACAGAATATGTTTATGTATAAAAATATATAATTATATATAAAATGATGATACAGTCTATATATATATATTTAGAAATTTTTGCCCCGGGAATATATTTATCGTCAAATTATTTCCATTGTTGAAAAAGTCACACGATCGATAAAGTCGTCGAGTTCGCGTGAAATCGTTCACATTCTCGCTCTTAGGAAAGAAGTAGAAAGGCGGGAATCTCAACTTCCGTTTGCTTTCTGCTTTCAGCCGGAATCCTGATAAATGTGGAGTGCAAAGCGTGGGCGAAGAATATCAAGCACAGTCGTAACGACAAAATCGGAGCGGTCCACTTCGAGCTGATGATAGATTAACGAATTCTGCAAGCAGCCCTACACTTCCCGCGCAGCCTTCTGAACCAAATTCGACAGAGCGTCCTCTAGGCTCTCGGGACAGCAGCTGGGCGAGTCTTTACCTTCCAAATATTAAAGTCGTGAGACGGGCGTGTCTCTCTCCGGCTCTGAACGATATTAATCGAGTACAAAAAAGAGAGTTCTTACGGCAGGCGTTCCCGAAAATTCGAAGTGGACTGTATATCGCGGTGAAAACACGAGCTTCTGAGAGAGTTCCGCGTACGTGTACGTTAAGCGAGAATATCAACGAGCATGGACCGAGATACCGAGGAGAGGAAACGTTGAGATTATCGAGACGATCATCACCGAATCACTTTTGGAGATATCTGTTTCCCATGTCTGTCGTTTTAAACCTGTCAATTTTGATAATGCGATCGTGACGAAATATCGTTGAAACGTTGATTTTTCATCACAGAGAAACCGTAATTCGTGGATCGCCGAAATTGTTGTTAACATTTGCGTGGGACGCAGAGAACACTCCTTTCTAGAGGAAATCACGCTAGCCTCTGGGATATCTGCATTGCTAATCTCAAGGATAAAATCGTCGATAATAATCATCGGCGATGACGCGCCGTCATTTTACGCATGCGCTCTACTCGTCGACACTCGTTGCATGTATTTGCAGCTTAGGAAAGTTCTCTCGTAAGTTCAATGTGTGTGCAATCAAGAGCTTTGGGAACGAACGAGAGGATAGTATAGTGGAATCTCAAAGGACCGTAGCCTTCGTTTAACCGTGCCTTCCTTTGCTCGTAAGCGCAATTTATCTGTAAAGAAATCCGACCAATATAATAGAACGTAAAAGAATCTCATTTAAAGATCATTTTAATACTCACTAGCTGCGTATAGTTTTTATAATTGGTCGTGCAGATGAGAGCGATCGAAAGACTTTCTTGATGTTTAAATGACAATAGAAATTAATGTATTCACATAATGTGTCACACGTCAGATGATGATGTCATACTTCTTATCGTATCGGGACGTCGATAATTTCTATTTTCACGTAGAGAATGATAATCATGAAATAGATAATAAGAGTATAACTTTTATAAACGAAGAGTATGAAGCAAGAATGACGTATGTCAAGTATATGGTAATTGTTAAGGTATTTAAACCCTGTATAATTGTCAATGTATAGAACAAATTTGGTAAATCTTATACAAGTTTTAAGAGTTCTGATAAATGTCATATATGTCACACGCGCCAGTATTTCATACAATTAAAAGACAGATTTTTTAATGTAACGCAAAAGGTGTAAGTTAAAGTGTAATAAAAAAAAAAGATATTGACGTACTTCATTTTTATATACATATACTCTTATTTCCACAAATGAAGTTTCAAATTGATTAATTGAATCGTGTGTTTTGTAAACATCATTTTACTAGTAAGACGACTTAACCTTCTTTTTCTTCTCTCTTAAAACAAAACAAAAAACAAAAAAAAGGGTGCATTCGTAAATCTTAAGTGTATAGAAATAAAATAATAATATGACGTAATGGCTTAGTCCAAAGAAAAATGTATTAAGCCTGCTTAACGACAGAGATGAATGACAACAGAAGAACAATATATTATATGTTGTTTTATTCGACGTAAAGGTATCTCGACACTATTTTGCTTCTTTTCATATAATTACGATTTAACACGCACATGAAAGCGTTTGTGAAAAAAAAAAAACGAAACGATAGCGAATAAATTTCAGTTTAATCTTGGCGCAGTTAATGTACAGTTTACGATCTGTGTGTAGCGTATTGTAATTAAGTCGTAATTAAGTTGTAATTATTTGAGCGCAATCGTTAGCTAATAGCGAACTCTTTCTTATTCGAGAAACAATATAAGAATATCTTTCTCTATTCCTTCCGAAATGCGTGAACGAAAAGAGATATATTTATATATATATCGTAAACAACTTTACTTTTCTATCGAACTTTTTTGTAATTGTTAACGGTACATAAGTTTGCGTACATTTTCTTCGTTCGATCGCGCGAACAGGCATTTTCCTTTGCAATGTTTCTTTGTAGAGTATTATTAAGGCAACAATATTACATTGTTGTGGTAGTATTAGTAGAACATCACTTCTTGTTTATGTTCTAATTATCTCAAAGGCTCAGATATTACGAGAAACGATTATTCCGCCGACGGAAAATGTTTTTCCCAGGAAAAAACTTCTCATATATAATTATAATTATATATAGGTAATCAATATGGTTACATATAATTATATATTTTTATATATATGGACATGTTATATATACATATATATATGACACCTTATATATAATTATACATGGAAAATTTTTTCCCAAGTTAGTCTTTAGTTGTCGATAATTTAGTGCTCAGATAATGGTAGCAATAGTTGATTCGTACGCTTCTTTCTGATCGATTAGGCATAAACGTTATCTTTCTCGTAGCTCTTTGTATAATTGAACGATAAATTGTGAAATCATAAAAATACCGATTGCTATTATCACCGCAGCATACAAAAGAGTAATTTTCGCATTGTGACAGATTTCGTAACTGAAATTATACCTCAAGAGACATCGTGGGTACAAATATCTTGTTATCTTACGGTACAGTTTATTTATTTTTCAACATTATCCACCGTTTTTATTCGTTCTTTCAGCCGTAAATTTCATATATGTGTTATAAAATAAATGTTGTTTTCACGTAAAACTAAGCGGTAATTTTCCTTTTCACGTTCTTAATTTCTTTTTGCACAGTGCTGCTTAATAGCGCATACTTAGGAATATTAGGAATGTTCTTCATACCAAAAGAAAATACAATTTTATACGTTTCATTAGTGTACCACTCTTAATTCTCTGTGTAACATTCTTCACGTGTTAAACGAATAGTTTCTTCTCGGAGCATTTATTTGACTATCTCACAAAATTGAGAAACAGAGACGGAGAGGAGATTAGAGGTATGGCAATTAATGCAGGGTGAGGTTAATTTGAGGATTAAGGAACGGGAGAATAAATTAACACAACTACGTAACCATAACAAATAAATTAAGTTACACACGAGGCTCACCGTTGTCTAAGAAAAAAAAAAGGAATTTATACTTATCTGTCGGATTGGCTTTCCATTCATCGTCATTTATTTAAAAAGTAATAATTACTATACGGGTCGCAAAACGTTAACTTCATTTTATACAATTATTTCACCTATGCGTTACAATAAGTACCAGAACGCTTTAACAAAAGCGGGTGGTTTACATTGACGATTCGAGCGTACGCATACTTTGTTCAGTTAGATCGGATACTTGTAAGTGGTCCAAGACAGTAATATTAATGAACAGAATATATCAGAAATATATTAAAAGTTTAATACAAATTTGATTCGCTAATATTTGAAGTACAAACATTAAGAGTATAAATTTGATTCACTAATATTTGAAGTGCAAATATTAGAAATATTTTAATTCGCTAACATTTTCTTCATGTAATTTGATTTGAGCTGACTGTCAAGATGAAATCTTGAGACACGAGAATCTCCACACGGAAAAAATGTATGTAAAAATGTACTACAAATGTAAACTTCTCACATATAACAGAAGGGATTCGATCTGTAGCTTCTTTCGAAGAATTTAATCACCTAAGTACTTCTAAGTAAATTACTCGGATCGGTAATATTTTGAGTCCTTGAGCTTGACCTTTCTTTTGATCTTGATGTCTTAACTTTTACAATATCTTCGAATCGATAAGAGGCGTCCCTACGATCCTGTAAGGAACGTAGGATTTGATCTAGCGATTCAAAGAGCTCGAATCCCGATTCAAGTAACCGATTAATTACGCGTACGGTATCCCTAAGAATTAATGAATTTATCAACCTACTAATTTTTTCTAGGCGCGAGCAATTGTCCGTCATCGTGACCATCGAAGATCCAGCCGTGTAGCGCTTTGGATCCTCATTTCGTACGTTCTCAAGACTTCCTAATTGGTGTACATCGATGGAACCGCAGAGTCGGGGACGACGGCGCGCCAAGGGTGGTGACGATCACGACGATTGTCGCTGTGTGATCACTCGTCGACCATCAACTCGAAGTGTACCGCACCCTTCTTTTCGGATCTGTATGAGCTATATTTGATGTTCTTCGCCCATGCCCGGCATTCCACGTTGATGATGAGGTTTCCTGCAGAAACCGTTCTATTAGAATGATTCACTCGCGCAATTCTGATGGACTCATCCTAGATGAACAATTACGCGAACAAATTCCCTCCTTATCAATCGACATTTTTATTATACAAAGAACATTTTTCAGTGATTTTCCTTTGCATTTCTGGAATAGTGGCAAAGAAAGAAAAACGAAGGACGATCATAAATCGCGGAGGTCATATCACCATAACACAAGCTGGCAAAACTCAAAATGAAAAACAGATGAATTCGAACGTGTTTGGAAAATTATCCAGGAACGCAAAGAATGCAAGTGTAAGATTTAACATTAGAAATTTCTTACTTATTAAAAGGACCAATCGGTCATTTTTTACCGCGAGTAGGAATACTTAATATTTCATTAAATTTTAACACATACACTTGTTATAAAATAATAATTGATTAAATGATTAAATAATGAAGAAGAGTGAAACATTTTCAAAGGAAATCTGAGGTCGTTCTTCACCCTGAAGAAGTGAACTGAAACGTTCACGAAACGTCGGAAAGAAATCCATAAAGGACGCGGCGCTGATTCGGAAGCCGAATTAAATGTTATATTGTACGATAAATATTATATATGTGTGCGAACAAAATGTAATAAAAATATAATACGAATAAAATATAAACAATTAGAATAAAATATGTGCCTTTTATTATTGATATTATTGTTGATATCTCAAAACATTATCTTAAAATATGAAATATAGTAACATAAACGGATATATATTTTTCCCGGCACAAAGAATCAGGTTGAAAGCAACCGTGTCGATCGGTTACAATCAGCCAACGTGTTCACAAATCAACTAAACATCGTCAGTAACGTTCGGACTTTTGTAAGTCAAAATATCTGAATGGTGCATTAGTCAATTGTCGCGCGTTAGTCTACTGCAAAACAGTTATTCCATTGTGCTTCCTGTCAAGTCAATGTACCTCGATTTTTTTCCAGAAAAATTTTCGGTGAAACATTAATTAAATACGTATTTTACAGCAAGCGGCTGTATTTTCGATCGTAGGTGATCGTGAACGAATTGCTACGAGAATAAGGAAAATTATGGGAAACTAAGTATTTCGTCGGAATAAAGGAAATAATTGATGGGAAGTCACGCGCAATTTTAGAATCGTATCTTTTACGCAGGAAACGGATTATTAGCCTGAAAAACAGAAACGTTCAGAAATGAGCAATCTCGGCACTTCCACTGTTAACGAGTCTTGAAATTGCCCGAGCACAAAGTAGCGTGACATTCACGCGCGTAACGGTAAATAAAATCGTAGCAGGTACGATCGATTACAGATCGGAGTGAAATCTATTGTCGCTGAACGCAAAACACTTCCTTAATCCGCAAGTGTGGAACAACATTTTAGGAATGGCATTAATTCGCATCTCTGCGGCTTTAAGCGAGCGCGCTGGCCGATGACACCTTTCGACGACCGATACCGTGCTGCAACACACTGGCTTTTACCGGTTTCATCTGGAGTGCGTCATTTGCTTGCGAGTCACATGAACCGGTCAATGTTGGCGGATTCAATAAAAAATTACGTATCGACACTTGGCGCATTTTAAGCACGAGCGTCCGCCTCCGTCGGATGGACGTCGGATGGAAACCAGGTAAAGCGTTTTTTTCAGAGCGCGTTTTTTTTTCAAGAGAGCGCGGAGTAGGATTCTTTGTGAAGCTTTCAACAAAAAGCTCCTCCGCCCTTCTGCACCTTCAAGCGTTCAGCATTAAGAATCTGGACGGCGTCCGGATAAAATTGCGATCAACGTAGAGCCCGTTTTAGCCGTAAAATAAAATCTATAATTTTTAGGAATATCATTTGTGAAATTATACGTTATTTTAAATATCGGACGACTCCGCAATAAGATCTTCGTTTAAATTCCCACGAGAAACGATCGCAATTATTTATCGGAACGAATATATTTATTTCGCAAATCCTATTGATATCAAAGCGTAAAATACGTAAAGTAGTATTAATATCGGACTTACTTTCCGGCCGAAGGAAATGAACGGCGACCACCGGACTCAGATATCCGGGAAGGTTCTCGTACGGGTAGTAGAATCCCGGAAATCCATGGGATCCTTTCGGATAATAGTTCAGTTCGCCAATGTTCTCATTGTCATGAGGATTTTCCCCCTTGCAGGACACCCATACCGTATTCAGCTGTAAAATGCAAGGGAAACGTGAACTTTACACTACACTCCGCGAAAGCGAGCGATTGAGCGAACATATTTTCGCAAAAGCAAGGCGATCCCCCCTCCCCCCCGAGTTTCTCGGTTCGATCCCGATATTTAATCAACCGACTGATACAATTGACTGACCGACTAACTAACCCATGAAGTGTTGACTGACTTTATGTACTGGACGAGCGTCTCCGGCATTTCACTCGGCAAGTTCTCGGTGTCGTTGTAGTAATCAGGTATCCATCCATATATCTGGAAAATGATGAAGTTTCGAGACAATCATAAATAAGAACGAGGGAGACATCAACTCGCCGCACAGAGAAACGAAATACTCAAATTCGTCGTCGAAACCTTAAAGGTGACCAACTCTTAAATATGGCTATATATATTTTCTTGAAAGATCTTGACGCGCTAAATTCAGAATGATTGTGCGTGATCGCACATCTCTCGAGGGCCGAATTGATTCTACTATTTTTCTCAATACGTCGGCAGCTTTTCACAATTCGTATTTCACAATAAGTCGATGACGCGAGATCTCGGCCGCGAATTTGAACGCGCCATTTCAATCTCCGGAGGTGGTCCACCGCCGGTTCTTACCCTGTTGAGCTTGATGAAGATACAAGGCGCTGAATTGTTGAAGCCGTATTGTCGACTCGGCGAACACGGTCCCCAATTGTTCACGTCTACCGCGCACACGTTGCCCTTCTTCGCCGGCATGGTGTAGTTGCAGATCTGCTGGTTTCTGCCGCCGTCCGGCAAGCGCGTCGGATCGATGTATTCTGTCGGATTTTTTTTGGTTTTCCCTTTATTCTTCATCAGCGGGGAGACACGATTAGATTGCGCGTAATTTATGGGAAGGTCAGGCGGACTAGGAGGGACTTTGAACGCTAGTCGAATAACTCGTTTGGATCTATCGCGCCGCCACGATGAAAAATATATCGATCGATATCGCGATTTCGTATCGTTTTCCCTCGCATATCGACGGCTTATCACTCACGTTCCAAAAACTGATCCAAGAGTCGCGTCCATTTCTGCACCTCGCTCGCGTTCGATGCGTTGTACCACACGAGCGATCTCTCGTCGGCGTTGTCTGAGATCGGCCGGAACCCCAAACCTGGTGGCGACGCAAACGATCAGTTCGGATGGTGAGGGTCGGGGGTGAAAAATATATGATAAATCTTACACGGATGTATCTCGACATACGTCTCTCGATAATATTTCTTATCTGCGTATTACATGTATTTATATACCTTGCGTTCATCTCTGAAAGTCCCCGAAAGGAGTTTCGCGTCCGGCAGCGGGACAAAGAGAAAGCGATCGTTTAATCAAGATGAAATACACGGAAAGGAAGAAAGAATTAGCTCCCACAGCTGAAACTCAGCTCACATAATACAACGGGAACTTCGCGAATTTAACTAATTTTGCCACCCCTTTACTTAGCTCTCACGGCGAAAAACTAAGTCTGGTGACTAAATTTCAATTGCATCATATGGACAGTCGATCCCCTCTTTCTCCGAGTATTCAGGAAAAAGCATCGATTTTTGTGCTTGGAAGATTCAAGCCGTTTGCAAAAAACGAAGTGCATTGCTCTTAGGACGGGCTGAAACGCCTCCTGCTGCGAGAACGCGCGCAATTCCAAGGTTTTCAAGATGAGTCTCCGCGAGGCGAAGAGGCGCGCTAACAAGTGCTTACCTGGATTGGTACCGATCAGGCTATCTTTTAAGGTCCACTTCGGCTTCTGGTAGCTCAACGTAGCGAGCATACCTTTCATGCAAATACTGAAGAGTATCGCCAGTCCGGCGAAGAAGCAAGTGTAGAAGATCAGAGTGTAACCTGAGGAAAGAGAACGCAGGGGGACATCGTTAGTGGAAATCCTCTCCTACAACGAATACGGCTCGTCCGTTCGGAGATATTTCGGCGAATCTGAGAGAGGAAGAGAGAAGGAGGGAGAGATAGATAGATATAAATCCGCGCGATGTATTTTCCTTCCGATAAAATCGAAAGCCTCAATGATGCTTCCTCGCCGAGGACCACGCAGCGGGGGTGGGTGGGG